TGTGAGGAATTGGAAAGCCCATAAAATGCAAATTAGACTGCATTTTACAAAATACGGCTGCTATCCTTTTCAATGAATTCCTAGGGATTCAAACCCAGTGTATAGTCCCTCAAACTGGCATGTTCTGCCCCCAAATGCTCATGTGGCTCACTCCATAACCAGGATTCTTCTTAAATACAACTTCCTCAGAGTGACCTTCCTACGCCATCCAAATTAATATAGTTCCCCCCTCCAGCCCAACACTGCTCTTCCCCTATCCTGCTTTATGGTGGGTTTTTCCCCTAGCACTTATCAGTAACTCCATATTCATCTAATGACTTACCTTTCTCTTCCACCGGAATGTCAGCTTCAGGAGAACAGAGGTTTCTTTCCCTCACAAATGTCTTCCTGGAGAAGTTGGTTCCGCAGGCCAGCAGTGGGTCCCAGCGACCTAGAGTTGATTAGCAGCCCAGGTTATGTTGATATAACTGAGTAGAGCAGTACCTGGGAGGCACCAATTGACACCCAATTTCCCCTAATTCGAACTTGGTGGTTGCTAATGGAGGTTTACTTTGTGGTGGTTGTGGTCCCATTTGTTTTGCTGGTTTTTAAGAAAAGAAAAATGCACCTCCCTTTCCGATACCATAAAACCTATGACTTGGTGTCCTGGTGACCTGCCAGGACTCATTTAAATAGCGACAATGGTAACTGCAAAGGGAAATAGAAAGGGAAAACCCCCCTGGAGAGATGGGCTAATCTCCAGATAATTGACAAATGACTCGATGCTGAAGAAAGTATATGCTGCTAATTTGCTGGACCCCCGTCTATGAAGCATGGTCATGCTTATCTTTTTTGCTCATTTTCAGCTCTTGTCACATAGTATTTATGTGAAACATTCCCTACTATTTTCCTACCCCCAATGTCTATGTTATTATCATCCATCCCTCTCACGTGGCTTGGTGGGTTACGCTGACATGCTTGAGGGAAGTGGAATGGGATTTTCAATCACATCAACTGCTTATGTTCGCTTTTTTCTGGAAAAGAACTAGCTCCGGACTGAGACTCTAGCTCCTGGATCTGAATTACTTGTCGGAGCAACTTGGGGGCAGCAAAATGCTGGCAGACTCACTGAGGGGATGTGCTGCCTAGACTGTTTCTGGAGAGAAAAGGGTGAGCAGATTTCCCGCTCTCGGTCTAGGGAGAAGCTTCACAGAAGGGCCTTCATGGGATTTCAGGAAGGAGGCAGGTGTGACTTCATAAAATACTAATATCAAAGAAGGGACAGCCTGGCCTGTGTGGCTCAGTGGTTGAACATTCACCTATGAACCAGGAGGTTATGGTTTGATTCCAACCAGGGCACATGCCCGGTTGCGGGCTCGATCCCCAGGTGTGCGGGGTGCAGGAGGCAGCCCATCAATGATTCACTCACATCATTGATGTCACTCTCTCGCTCTCTTTCTCTCTCTCTCTCTCTCTCCCTCCCTCTCCAAAATTAATAAAAGTTTTTTGTTTTGTTTTTTATAAAGAAGGGTAATAGTTCTAAATACAAAGAGGTCTGTTGTTTGTAGATGTGGAAGGAGATGGGAGCACTAAAGAGAGCAAAAACTCACGGTGAGCTAAGCGGTCAGAAAAGGGAGCAGAGATGGGAATCCAGAACCTAGAACAGTCCTACATACTCGTCCGTGAGACCAGGAGGTCCCGACGACACCAGGTGTCCCGTTAAGATGTCTGAAACCCCAAAGGGTTCTCTATGCCCTGCTAGTGGCAACTGCGTGAATAAACCAACAGAGAACTGTAATCATGACCTGTGCATCTGTCGCCAATAACCACGGCAAACCCATCAAACAGTGGCCTGAACAGTTCCCTCGCCCCTTCGGCATTCCTACCCTCTGATGTCTGCAAACAGTGGCCACGCTGCCTCTGCACCGCCCTCTGATCCAGCTGCACAAGATTTAGTCTTCCGTCTTCAAGACACTGTTCCCACCGGTTAAATCATTCCCCTGGCTTCCTGTACCCCCGGCCAATTGGTTCCTTTCTGGAAAAGCTGGCACCGCATTCCTCCAGTGGCAGACTCAAGGCTATATTTACAGTAAATATTTACCGTGTGCTCACCGGGTGCTGGGCCCCACCACAGGCCCAGGAAAGGGTCTCGCTGCCACTGGTGGATGCAGGTACAGCCACGGCATCCAGGCGGCCAGGTTCTCCCCATCTCAGATTCTCACGGTGAATTGATCTTCTTGACAGTGGAAAACAGAACCCCAGCACAAGAAAACAGCCTGAAGAACTAAAAGCAGATATTCCTTCTCTTACCCATCATGAGTTTTCTCTCCAAATAAAAAAAAATTTTTTTGTAATCCTCACCCTAGGATATTTTTCTGTTGATTTTTTAGGGAGAATAGAAGAGGGAAAGACAGAGAGAAATATTGATGTGAGAGAGACGCATCAGTTGGTTGCCTCCTGCACTTGCCCCGACCAGGGTCTGCAGCTCAGGTATGTGCCCTTGGTCAGAATCGAACCCGGTACCCTTCAGTCCCAAGCCAGTGCTCTACCCACTGAGCCACACTGGGTAGGGCCCAAGTAATTTTTACTAGAATAAAATCGACAATGATATTATCTTCGTCTTAAGGAGTTCTCACAGGCTTCCTGTATATAATCTTGAAGTGTTTTCAACAAATGTTCCATGATGCTGAACATTCCAGAAGCAAATTCCCAAATTACGTTGGCCCTACAGCCCTGCTTCTATGGAGAAGTGGCCTGAGGAAGAAAACATTTTCTGTATTTGTCTGACTCAGTTTCCCCAGTGTGACTGAGAATAGACTGCACAGGGACAGGTTTGAGCCAATACTACTTTATTTAATCACCTTGGAGTACAGGTATCAACACCCACCAATACAGAAAGTACCCCTTTGTTCATTCCCTCCCCATCCACTTCAGAAAAATAGCTCTAAGCTCTTTCATGGTGATCCAACATCATCCACATCTACAAAATGGTGTCCACCACCATTTGGATTGTGCTCCTATTTTTCACGTAAACTACAAAGCATTTCCTCTTTGTCCAACATATCCACCTGCATGAAATCATCCCAGAGGAGATGAGTTCAGGAGCTACTTAGAAGGGAACTGTTTCAATGGGTCTCATTTCTTTCTTATCTGCTAGTTTCTGGCCTGTTTTGTTCTGAAGAGGAAAAAAAGACATATTTACACATGAAAGGATAAGCCACTTAGGTCAGGCTGGCTTGCTGAGGGGAAATAAATCACTAACTACTGCATTAAGTATCCAATATGAACTATCACAATGGGGTAGGGAGGCAGGAAAAGGATGTCCATTATTAATTTAAAATTTAGTTTTGTGTATTTTTTTCCCTCGTGTCTACTGCCAAATCCCTGGATTAAGAAATGTGAGAAAAGCCGAATTTCCCAGGAAGACCAGCCTTGGGCCCGGCACCTTGCTAAAGAAGATGAATAGATGGTCTTGGGCCAGCCTCCCATGTAACCCACACCCGCCTCCGTGCCTTCTCTACGCACAGGTGTTTGCCCGGGTTTTGTACTCTCTTTCTTGGCAACCTTTTTGGTCCATAAAGTTGAGAACATTCGGGAGGAAGAGGCATTTCGCTACAATACAATACATACATTACTTAAAGAAAGAAAGAAAGAAAGAAAGAAAGAAAGAAAGAAAGAAAGAAAGAAAGAAAGAGAAAGCACCAGGAGAAACAAAGCCATAAAGCAGAATCTTGGGTCATGAAAATTACACATAAAAATTAACAGGGGCAGAGAGGTTGGGGCTTCAAACTCCAGCCAATTTTATAACTTAGAGTGTGAAAAGGATATGTGGGTGTTTAACAATGTACAAACACAAGAGTGCAGCCTGGCCAGCATGGCTCTGTGGTTGAGCATTGACTTACGAACCAGGTCATGGGTTCAATTCCTTGTCAGGGCACATGCCCAGGTTGTGGGCTTGATCTCCAGTCAGGGGCGTGCAGGAGGCAGCCAATCAATGGTTCTCTCTCATCATTGATGTTTCTCTCTCTCTCTCTCTCTCTCTATCTCTCTCTCTCCCATTCTTTGAAATCAATAAAAATATATTAAAATAAAAAATAATAAAAAAAGAAGCGTGAAAAATGCTGGCTAATTTAACTGGAAAAGCATGGTGGACAAGGCAGATGGAAGCCAGCTCTGCTCCAGGGCGCCTGCCAGGCAGGAGGGTCTGGGGGAACGGAGCAACCCGACAGCCAGAGTCTGTGAGGTTAGCATGACCCTCTCTGGAAAGGGGTAGGCACTCATTTCTAATTTGCAGTTTGACCACCAGTGGTTGGCAAACTCACTAGTCAACAAAGCCAAGTATCAACAGGACAATGACTGAAATTTCTTTTGAGAGCCACATTTTTTAAACTTCTCCTAACATCACTTCTTCGAAATAGACTCGCCCAAGCCGTGGTATTTTGTGGAAGAGCCTCATGTGGCTTGCCAGCCGCAGTTTGCCGACCACGGGACTAAGCGAACCAAGCTCTCCTTCCCTCTGACGACCCATTCTCCTCACACTCCCAGCTCCTCTTGCCTGAGTAGCACCCCCATGAACTAACCTGACGTTTGCATCATCCTGACATCATCCTCTACCCACCAATCACGGAGGAGCCACGTCCTGGGACAGAGGCATGCTCCACACATGTGCTTCAGCACCCCCGAGGCTGGACACCCTGGGCCAGGGCCACTGGCTAGACAGCCAAAGGCACACACAAGGTCAAAGGGAGGCAGAGAATACAGATTTTTCTTTAAAACTTTATTACACAGTAAAGAATACAATACCTGAATCATACTTTAAAGATTCACAGGTTGACAGACCATACATTACAGTCCAACTAAGGAGAAAAGGATAAACAAGAAACCACAGTTCAGACATAGTAGACTTAAAAGCTCAAGAGTATGCTGACAAAAGCATGATGCCTAGACCCCACCCCCCAGTGTTAGTCTACCGTTAACTTGTGGTACATGTCTGAATTAAGTATTGCACAACAACTTTAATGTTTTCACAAGAAATGTCGCAGAACCCAAAAGAACGTTTTCTTTAAAACAAAAAAAATTACTTCAAATCTGCATTTCAACAGTCTCCAATTTTTTTTTTTCTTCTTTTTTCTGTCCCTTGAGGAATTCGGACAACACGGAGTCACTTTCTTTCCCTAAGTTATTCCAGACATAGGCATGCTTTGCATAAGTAAACCAGCCTTGAAATTTTTAAATCCCCAAGACATGCACCTACACATAAATTTAAAAAAAAAAAAAAGTTAGGAAAAAAAAAAAGAAATTTAAAGACAGGTAGCCCTATCACACACAGTCTCATGACAGAGGAGAAGAGAGTCAGAGACAGAAATAAGATAGGGAAAAGCCCTATTTCTATCTGCGACCGCCATCCAAGGAAGGTTCACTTCTTAAAAATGTGTTATACCTACAAATGATACTCTCACATGGCCTGTACATACGTGACAAGCAGAAAAGGAAAGCTAACAAAAGTGTTTTCTTTTCTTTCTCTTCTTTAGGTTTATGAGGTCTGCATTGTTACCAAGGAGTGATATGGTTTGCAGCTGTATGAGCTTAACTTTTGGTATCCTGGTTCTTTTGTGCCCATTTGGTTTGACTAGACCAGTTTTTGTGTTAGCTACTGGTGCAATATACATGCTGTCAAGAGGTAGAGTGAAACTTTTTGCCACTGAGGAGAATGTAGCAAAACAGGAAGAGGAAGAAGAGGAGGAGGAGGAGAAGGAGGAGAAGGAGGAGGGAGAGAAGGAGGAGGAGGAGGAGGGAGAGAAGGAAGAGGAGTCAGAGATAGAGCTCAGAGTTAGGGATTTTTTTTTTCTTTCTTTTTTGTTTTCACTCAGGGTGCCCTGAATTAAAAAGGGATGAGACGTACTGTTACTAATCCTTATTTTACACACTAGTGTAAAGATAACAGTGCTGTTTCACATACATCACAGCTTCTAGAGATAACGACCTGTGGGTATGACATACCTCATTATTATTAATTTTTTTTTGGGGGGGGGAGGGATTATTTAACCCTTCGTAGCCTAGAACATGTAATAGCTCTGTAAGAAAGGACTGTCCAGTGTCACAAGCAGACTAGAAAGCAGAGTGAGGTCAAAGGATTCTGGGAGCACCATGATGAAAAAGATCACCCATTCAGAGCCTGGTTATGTGCTTTCGCTTCCTTTCAAGCAGGTGTGCTGGCCGATGGACTTCCGACATGCAGATCGATGAATATAGTTGCTCATCAGAACTTTCTACACTAAAAAGCCATTTAAAACAACAACAACAACAACAACAACATAACGGCACCGAAACAAAAGCTAATGTGAATAGGAAAAAACCTGGGGTGGGGGAATACTAAAAAAAAAAAATAATAATAATAAAAAGTTTGGGCTTAGGTAAGGTGACCAGACGACCCGCTTTTGGCGGGACAGTCCCGATTTTTAACGAAGTCCCGGGACGCGGGACACATTGATAAAAATCGGGACTGTCCCACCAAAAGCGGGACGTCTGGTCACCTTAGTTTAGGAGTCATAAAGCAAACAGATTTAGGATTGCCTCTATGCAGATACTGAAAAGCTGTTTAAAATGGTACCCAAGGGCTACATTAAAAACAAAACACACACACACACACACTTGCATGCACAAAAAAACACTAATGGATCGTTTTAGATTTTTAGGTAAATGCCTGGTGAGTGTATGTGCGTGGAGAAGGGTCTTCCCAGCCTTGAGAACTTTGGTTGTCTACACAGCCTGCAGCCTGGCTTCCCCGGAAGCACACAACCACATCTTGGGCTACTGGTTTCAAAACGAACAAGCGGTTCTGGTCTGGACCCTGGACAGAGAAGGGTTCATGGATTCGCACGAGACCTGGCTGAACACAGCTCACCTGCTGACCATCGGGAAAGGAGTACTGGTGCTTCTCAAGATTCGGCTTTTGGTCCATCAGATCAGTCTTTGGCGGACTTCCCTTTTGTAAGAATTCTGTGTAACCTGGCATTCAGTGCTTAAAGCTGTCAGTCTACACCTCAGCATTTGGAGCTCTCATGATTTAACGTTTTATTTTATTTTTTGTAAAATTAGAAATACTTAAACAACCTTACAGCAATATGCATGCACTGTCTTTTTTTTTTTTAAGTAGAATATCTTATTTAAAAAAAAAAAAAGTCCCAATAATGATTTTTCAAAAAAAGAAGAGGAAAAAAAAAAAAAAAAGAGGAAAAAATCCACTACTACTATATGCTACAGCTAAACTGGGTGAAATGGCTCTAGCATATTCCAAAAGTTGGCTTAAAAAAAAGTAAAGCATGCCTAGGGGGTCATTGTGACAGTGCAAAATACATTTATGTACATCCCCTCTTACAAAAACACCGAGGCTAGCATTCCATGAACATGCTGGTTTTCAGGAAAAAAAAATCCTAGAAGAGAGTGAAATAGCAGCTCCGAGAGATTTTTTTTCTTTTCTGTTTTCTTGAGGACAACCAAAAAAAAAAAAAAAAAAAGTCTTCCCCCCCCCCCACCCCGAACTACTAGAGAAATATCACTATTACATATAGATATAAAAGCAGCATAGAAAGATACAGGTTTCTCACCAACTAGGAAGAAAGAGACTAAATGTGGGCGTTATGGTTCAACTACGATGCATCTTCACATTTGTCCAACACATTTACAAGAAAAAACACCATCGGAAACCGCACAGGACAGACGTGTCTTCACACGCAGGGAACTACTCGCTTTGAATTAAAAAATCTAAACAGGGCAGGGCTGGAAAATTTGGACAGGGGCTGGAGCTGGAGCCACCATTTATTTATTTATTTTTTTCTTTAAAAAAGTATTTTTCAATATAAAAATGAATGAGCTGGAAACAGACCCAATGTCTTAACTCTGTGGAATCTTGCAAAAGTGAACAAACGTCGAAGGGGTTAGTTAGGGCAGCCGGCTGATGTCAGAGCTGCCAGAATGCTAATTAACTGCAGGCTGAGTCTCTTAACGTGTGTGTGTGTGTGTGTGTGTGTGTGTGTGTGTGTGTGTGGTGTGTGTGTAAAGGAGCCTTTTGTATTAGGGCATATTTTTTCTTCTTGCTGCTGTATCCATACATCCCACTGTAAATCATCTTTTCATTTTTCATTCTGTTGACCTGGATATTATTTCTTTTCAGAAACTTGCGGGGTGGGGGATGGGGGGGAACGAACATCTGTTTCTCCTTCCAATATGCTGCACATATGTGTGTTTTGTAGCGGGTCTTCAGAGTTCAGTTAGCAACCTATGGATGCCGTTCATCTTCTTGTTAAAACGTCTACCACTGTAGCTAACGCTCACGCCCTGGAGGGTTTGCCTCTTTCCCACCTCCCCACCCCCCACCCCCCATTATTGAATATCAGGAACACTGTGTCTTAATCTTAGCAATTTTTTTTTTTTTTTTTTTTGCTTTCAACAGCAATGAGCCATCTCTTGGTTTGCTGTTTGGTAAAGCATCGGTTAATGAGGTCATCTAGTTTAAAATCCCAGCTACTGGCAAATACCGGGGAGGAGGTCAAATCTGTCGCTTCATGTTATATTTCTCTGCTCTTTTCAGTTCTCTAAAGAGGAGATTATCTTTGTGATCCACAGTTAAGTCCTTACGACCCGTGACTGGCCCTCTGTTTTGACTCTCCGTTAGGTTCTCTCTTGCTCAAGGACTGCGATAGGAAGAGTTCATCTACACACAGACAGACAAACAAAAAGAACTTCGAGCATCCGAGGATGGAGGAGGATTGGTTTCTCGGGGTGGTGGTGGTGTCGTGTTTCCTTGGACAGTCCGGAGTTCACATCTAGCGAGGGGTGGTCTCTATGGTGGAGGGGGTCCCCGGGGTGCTGGACCTCGGCGTGGCTGCTGGTGGCGTGTCCATCGGGCTCCCGGCCCCGCTGCTGGGCGTGACCGAGGAGCTGACCGCGGGCGTGTCCCCCTGCGGCTGGGCCTGCAGGGTCTGTCCACAGATGTGGTGGTGCTTTTCCCAGTCCTTGTGCTGGCAAAACGAGCCGCAGTACCGCGCTGTGTTGCAGCCGCTGCAGGTTTCGCTGGCTTTACGGCCACAGTTCCAGCAACTCTAAGGGAGAAGGCAGAACAAAGCAAAATCCCAAGTGAGTCCACTGTCCAAACGAAAGGCTGGGGAACCGTACTGGGCAGCACTGCCCCCTTTTCTTTCTTTTTTTTTTTTAAAAAAAAATATATGTTTATTGATTTCAGAGAGAAAGGGAGAGGGAGAGGGAGAGGGAGAGGGGAAGGGTGTGTGGCTTCAGGCGGGCTCAGGAGCCCACTCTGAATATCCCAGTGGAAGGTCAGCTTGTCACCCTAATGTGTGCGGCTTTACCACCAACACATGCGGAGAAATGGTCAGCAGTCGCCCTGACTTTGCTAGGAAATCAAGGGCCTCCTGGAGTTTCACGAGCTTACAGCCTACGAACTCAAGGACTTGACTTTAAAACTTCTAGAAAGAGCTCAGCTCTACATCCTTATTTTTTTTTACTCTTCGGAAATGATGGCCCCATGAAGGGGGAAAATAAAATCCATAAAAACCTAAAGATCTCAAACGCTGGTCCGTTTGGGGTGTTTTAAATGAACATACCTGAGGACATACATGTTCACATCATGAATAAAAAATAAAATCACAATGAACAATCAGTACTAGCACATTTTTTTTTCCACTTTAATTGAACCAGGAAACTCAGAAGATGTGTACTTCAGATACGAGGTTTCATTGCAAGAATTGAAGCCCTCCTTCCTCAAAATTAATTCCATCACATCTGCATGTACAAATGACCCTGTAAAGCCATACAAAAACGTGGGCTTGGCCCTTAGGAGCCGTGAGGTCTGACATGGCACTCGGAGTGAAGTTTCCTTCCTTGAAGTCTAGTCACTTTTAGAAGAATGCCAGGTGGATCCTGGAACAAATGCAGCAAATTCTAGAAATTACTAAATGACGGCAGAAAATTCCAATTAGAGAACAGAGACTCAGATCCAAAACAACCTTTTAAAGAAATTAAATATCTATCTAAGTCAAGTGGCTTCTTCAAAATATACCCTGGTGTGAGGGTAGGGTATTCTTTGCTGGCAGAGGCACATTTTGGCAGACACAACGGTGGTAACTGCCCAGGACTCAAGGCAGCCGTCAGATTGAAATCAGATGTGGGCAACCTTCTCCATTGAAGCTGATTAAACACACAGACGACACCAGGTCATTACAGATGCATGTGTTGGGGGGTTGGGTAGAGGAGACAGGATGGGGGACTTCTTTTATTTTTAAAGTGTTTTCAAAGATGGGAACAATTTCACAAATGAAAAAAAAAAAATGGAATTATGCCAAATATAGAAACAGATGTTTTGGATCAGGAAGCTGCTGGGAATTGAGCCTGTGTCTCTGTATGGCCGGATTCTGACCCAGGATTCAAGGGCTCTTGCTAATTTTACTCCTATCCCCATTCCCAAGTTGTTGGATCAAATTCATTTACCACCCACCGAGGGGAAGAAACAACCTTCCGCGGTCGGGAGGTACAACAAAGAGCAATTCCAATGGCCGGGCGGGGAGAAAACACAAACAAACGACGTATTTTTATTCCTCTTGACATCGCACTGTAATGACTGTGTAGGGAGCTTTAGCCTAAGTATCCAACCAACAAAACAAAGTCCAAATTGCACAACCCCTTTGAAAAGCTCATTAGAAAAACAGACAAAGCAATTCCTATGAATATATTTCTCTTGGGTGGTTCTTCTGAATTTCCTGTAGACCAGCCCAGTGGTCGGCAAACTCATTAGTCAACAGAACCAAATTTCAATAGGAGGACAGCTATTGAAATGTCTTTGGAGAGCCACATTTTTTAAACTTAAACTTCTTCTAACGGCCACTGCTTCAACATAGACTCGCTCAGGCCGTGGTATTTTGTGGAAGAGCCACACTCAAGGGGCCAAAGAGCCGCATGTGGCTCGCGAGCCGCAGTTTGCCGACCACTGGACCTGCAAGGCTGATGCGTGCCCAGTGGCACTCGGCCCCTCCGGCCATGCTTCTGGGATCAGGGAAACGGACAGAATCCGGTGAGGACTGTCACCTGGATAATCTTATGTTTCTAAGCTTTCTGCTGTCCACAAAGGTGGCAAGTAAAAATTGTGTATCATCCCCATAAATTGTATACAGCCATAAAGGGCAGGGATACAGCGGTCAATGATTTAATCCAATTTTACATTTTTTTTCAATTTGTGCTTGTTATATTCAGGCTAGTACTTTCTGATACTTGCTCTATTTATTTGTTGGTTACTTATTTTATTATTTTTTTTTAAATAACTTGAGCTTCCTTTCAGTCCCTGAAGGAATGATGCTGGTGACTCAATTACCACAAGAGTGTAGAAGGTCTGAGAATAGCATTTCATAGCAAACTTCATTCCCAAATCCAATGGCACTTTATAGTCTTCCCTTATTGGTGACCACATCGTCCCTATTTGAAAAGTGGGAATTAGTCCACTGAGCTGAGTCAGACGAAGAACGTGGGGCTGAACCCCACACTCCCCTTTGCTAAGTGTACTAATGCCACAGAGAAAATGGGAGTGATGGAGGGAAGCTTTCGAATGCCAAAGCTATATGTCAAAGACTACGAACTTCGTTTCCTATCAGTATTCCTCTTCATTCCTAAGAACAAAATGACTTCTATCATCTTGTTATTTTAGTCAGAGAATGGACATTCTGCCCTCCTGGCAGAACAATACCTTTTCTGGTTCCTATTGTTGAAAATTCCTTTTCCAAGCAATGAAACACTTTCTCCTGAATTACTCTAAGTTCCTCCAGTTCTTACATACCTGTAATTCTCCAGAAAAGAAAACCTCTCCCAGGCAAAGAATGCTCAATAATTTAGTAGAGTGTTTACAATTAAAACTCCCCAAATTAAAAGAACTCTACACAAGGTAGCACAACCTACATTCACACTAAAGACCCCAACTTACGTTGCACTCAACGGTTGAAAACCACTTTAAAATACACGCTGCAGGCAGGAAACAGACTCAAAGCAAACTGAGGCTCCAAGAATAAGCAACTCTAGAGGAAATGGCTTCTGTAAAGTCACACAGTTATGAGAGTCCATCGCCCTCTCTTACTTGGGGACAGGAGGGCGAGAGGAGGGACGATATAGGTATAAACAGAGGAAATAAATATGGAAAATAGAAAGTTTCAGATGGCCAGATTCAGCAAATGCCCTTTCTTTTGATATATGCTAATGTTGGCAGTACATTCTTGGTGAGATGTGTAAACACTGTCAAGAGAGAAATTACAGAAAATATCCAGCTGCTTAGATATGTCTGAGGTCCAGCATCATTCTGCTGTAATAATGACAGATGATGCACCCAAGCCAAGTTAGAGAGAACGAGGTGGGAATCGGCGGAAGGAAGTCCAGTGAGGGAACAGAGACACCACCCCACCGTCAGGACAGGGAGAACCCCGCTTCTGCCGCGGGGCCAAAAGGAGGTGGGCTGAGGGGCGGCAGCCAGACTGAGGCCCAGTTTGCCTCACTGCGGTGAGGCCTCTGGACCTCCCTCAGATGCAAAATGAAAACAGCACCATGGACACCAGGTCATAGAGCAAATGAGCACAAGGATAGAAAGCACTTTCTGCCACATCTGGCACAGAGTTAAACATTCACTGTAGGTCTTCTCGTTTTACCCCAGGCAACAAACTTCACGTCACACCCCCCCCACACCCCCCAGGAACTATGCTGAGCAGGGTTCCCGTGTGCTGGGACAGCCGGGGTTAGAACTGCTCTCTCAGGAAAACGTCCACATTACTTTTGCAGAAAAGAGGCTTAATCATTGGAGAGATGGCTCCATCCTGCTCAATCCTGACAAGTGGCCCTGCAGTTCGAAGAGAAGAAAACACACTGTGTTTCTGTATCTGCACCCCCAAATCTCGGCCGTGGTCCTCATGAAAAGACCCTTCTTTCGCTGTTGTGGACATGGATGGACTGACCACACACTCTGAGCTCCTGGGTAGATTCTGCCGACTCCCAGCTGTGACGCTAGCCAGGTGAGTTCCCTCATGGCTAAAACTGTCACGTCTCCACATTCTAGCCACTGGATAAGACAGTTTCACGTCTCTTCTCATCATGGGCGAGACCAAAGCTTGTAGAGCTTTGGTGGCTTTCTCAAAGCCACAGAATTGTGGGAGATGGAATCAGGAATTAAATTTGACCTTCTGAGTTTCACACTCTTCCTTCCAGCATACTGTGCTTTAAAATCCATGGAAAGTGTCACCGAAGATAAGGATAGCGCCATATTAAAGATCAGTTTCCCAAGAGACCCCAAAAGAAAAACAACAACTGCTGAAAATCACTCATACCTGGGTTTTTTCCATCCTATCTACTATTATCATAGCTACTACCATCTATTTATATATAAAAATTTTATATATAAATTTTTTTTATATATTTGATATACCATCTATATATATATATAAAAGTCTAAGCGATGGTTATGACTGGTTGACAGGTCACTAAGACGACACGCTGACCACCAGAGGGCAGTCTGTCAATGCAGTAGCTGCCCCCTGGTGGTCAGTGCACTCCCACAGCTAAGCTCCCAAGGCCAGCCAAACTCCTGGGGTTCCTTCCTCAGACGATACAAGATCGCCCCGATTGTGGACCAGGCCGAGGAACCCCACAGGGGGTTCCACGAATTTGTGCATCAGGCCTCTAGTATTTTTATAATGCTGAGTACTAGGGTCAAGATCATACATTTTCTATACAGGTTTTATGAATAAAGATAGAAAGCTTATAGAGACTGAAGGCATTAGAGCATGTTATAGGATGAATACAAAGACCTAGTTCTCAATTTCTTTCCTCATATTTTCATTTCAGGATTTAGTGATCTACAAAATTCTCAACAGACCTGAAACACTCCTGTGAAAGTGACCATGTTTTAATAATGCCAACAACTGTGCCTCCCAGCATTAGTGACTTGAACAGAGCGAGACAAATTCTCTCCAAAAGATGCGAATGATTTTCTTTTTTAAAGCGCAAAACAAGGTCCTTAAATATCTTGGCCACAGATGCCAATAACACTGAATTTATGTCCAGGTTAACTTAATAACGAAAAAGTCTGCCATTGAAGGGTAGATAAACTTCCCTTTGTCCCTCTTTTCCCGAGAAACTTTCAAATGCTGGAAATCAACTCCTTTTGTCCTCTTAATATTCATCTGCTACACATTAAATACAAATTCTGGGCACCGAGGGATTCCCACAGCGTCTTTCATCTACAGAGAGGCCTGGTACAAATTAAGTTCTTACTCTCCCTCCCAAATTACAGATATGTATCCTGGTAGACCATCGTTTTATCAACTCACAGTTGTGCGAGTTCAGTTAACTGCCCTTTCTGCACACTTACTTTGGGGTTGGGCATGGTGGTGCTGTATCAATGCGGAGTAATGCCACATGCTCTGACTTACAGACCATTTTAGAAAACAATCTGTTAGAGACTGTGTACTTCCCAGATTCTTGAGCCATTTAGGCTGTGTGTGTGTGTGTGTGTGTGTGTGTGTGTGTGTTTTAATATCCTGGAACAGTGGTCGGCAAACTCATTAGTCAACAGAGCGGCAAACCGGGGCTTGGGAGCTGCAACTTGCCGACCACTGTCCTGCAACAATACAAAACAACATTGCCCCTTTCGGTGATGTCACCTAATAAAATGATCTTAATAGTTATTAGAAACAATGTGGAAAAACAGAGGAGCAGAAAATGTCTTAGAAATGTTTAATTGAGGCAAACATGGGTTTAGCACTGGATTTAGGACCAGTAGTTAAGGAGATGACTTTGATCCTGGGCATGTCGTGTGTGTTTGGAGAGCAGCAGACACAGGGTATGGCTGTGAAAGCTCTGCCTTTGGAGGAAAGCCTCGTGCACATGCTGTCCCACACAGCTGAGTGCTGAGTCTCCAAATGGGGCTGGGGAGTCATAAGGATTTCACTTCAATCTGTACCTCGCAAATACATTAAACATTTCCTTTGGCGGAGTTGTTCTTTTAGGTCTCTACTAAAGGCAAAATTTGATCAGCTTTCAACCAATTCCACAAGTGCCAGGACTCCCCTGACTGTCCTAAGTTTCACCCCAAAGATTTGTGGGTCTCAGCCCAGGAGCTGCTTTGACTTGCGACCTCCTGGATCACAACTGAGCACTCCAGAAAGAAGTCTGACCATTTGCACCAGCATGGGTGGACGTGGAGAGCAGTGCGCTAAGCGAAATAAGCCAGTTGGAGAGAGAGAAACACCACCTGAGCTCACTCATTCGTGGAATATAACGAACAACATAAACCGATGATCCAAAAGAGATCCAGAGATATAAAAGCGCGGGACAGACAGTCAAACCTCACGGGGAAGGCAGAGGAGAGGGGGTAGGAGTAAGAAATCAACCAAAGGACTTGTATCCTCTGTGCATAGAAGCATGGCCAATGGACACAACAGTAGGAGGTCAGGGCGTGGGCTGGGGGACGGGGAGAGGACCAGGGTGGGGGAAAGGAGACAGATGCAATACTCCCACCAATAAAGAATTTAAATAAATGAGACTGGGCGCTCTCATTGGCGGAGCCCCTGTCGCCGTCGGGGCTCCCCCTCACCTCGCTGGAGTCCTCCTGCTGGTTGATGACGGCCAGCGCGTCCTCCGCCGCCTGCCGCTTGGCCTCGGCCACCGTGCGCTCCATCTTGGCCCGCTCGCTGGTGATCATGTCGTGGGCTTTCCGCTCGGCCTCCGACACGGCCTTCTGCAGCTCCGTCATGGCCTGGCGCTTCACCTCGTTCACCGCCTCCTCTGCAGGCCCGGACCCCGGGGACAAGAGAACAAATAATTCTCCGTTAGCTCAGGGCTCAATGGGGATCCCATAGGACAGGCGGGGGTGTCACTCCCCACATATGGGGCAGCGCTTCTGGCCACCTGCCCACACAGCAGGTGCCTGAAACTCCTTAGGAAAGCCATGGCTGGGACTTGGACTTGCATTTCTAGTGATATATTTTTAAAATATATTTTTATTGATTTCAGGGAGGAAGGGAGAGGAGGGAGAAATATCAACGATGAGAGAGAATCATGGATCGACTGCCTCCTGCATGGTCCTTACTGGGGATCGAGCCCACAGCCTGGGCACATGCCCTTGATCAGAAACGAACTCGGGACTATTTTGTAAACTACTTCTATCATTATTACAAACTTTCCTACCACCACTAGTATCTCCAGAGAGGGTTGTGAGACCAGGCTAAGCATTTAAAGGACAGAACCATGAGGAAACTGTCCAGATAATTCGCACATATGAAGAAGGCGGCCTGCCACCAGGCTACTGGCTACCGGAGTGCCCTAAGGGTCGTTAAAACGTGTAATACCTGCCTATTGAGTCAGGGGCACTGGCCTCTTTTCCATTAGATTGCCAAATAACATTTTTTCACATGACAACAGCTAACACAATAGTCACTGGTGTGAATGAATCAACATCATGCCTTATGCCTAATTGTTTTTTTCCCCCCAGAATTTGGTCATTAGTTTATGTGTGCCACGATGTGAAAAAGGTTGAAGATCATTGCTATGGGTCAGTACAAACATTGAAAAGTACATGAGTGATGTTTTCAGAAAAAATAAAGGAAATGCATGTTGCACATACAGGTATTTAAGGGCAAACGACTGTTTTGGTGGTAAAAAATAAAGCACAATAGTAGAAAGGTTCTTCGTATAGCCATTAAGTTAGGGCAGACCTTTTAAAGAAGATCGATGATAAAACAGACAGATGATTCAGCTTTTCTTTTTCTTTAATCATTTCCTGAGTAATAGGGATGTGTACCTTTATAGACTAACTGACAGAGATTTTTAAAAATCGTTTTATCACAAATTTTAGCTGTTGTCTGTCCAGTTAATCAAATGAGTGCCCAGTTTCATATAACCAACTGTTGCACTGGGCAATCAGAACTGAATCACATCACAACACAGGCCAGACCACAAACCTGCGAGGTGTCCAGTTCGCCTTCTTATTTAGCCGTGAAAAGTGTGCAAAGATTTGGCTAATGTACAACACAAGATTGACAACTTAAAACAAGTCATTTCCATTTAAAAAAATTAACTGTTCTAATTAACAGGGGGAAACATCCTCCCCCTGAATTCGTTTACCTAATTTTCATCTCCATTCAAAGCAAAATGACAATGATTAATTGAAAATTTAATAAGGAGTCATTATTAACTTGGCAAACCTAGTACCAATTAACACTCTATTAAAACTAATTATGACATGTTTCAAGTGCTCGCACTTAATTGTCTCACCCACTTAAAAAGCACCTTAATTAAATGTTCTGTTTAATTAAAAACATAGATTCCTAATAAAAATGTTTTACTGTAGATTAAAAACGTAAGCGCTGCAAATACTCCTCAGGTTCCTGCAATGTGTATGGTTTATTTCACACATCTACAGTCTGTGACTCGAGCATCGTCAAGAGCCCTCCACTGGTAATTAACTGTCATGACTTCTGCCGCCTTCCTCGTGTGAGCACCGTTATTCCTGAAGTTCATTCATTGGTGACTAGTGGCTGATGGGTTTTATAAACTAACATATAAGGGCGAGAGCCAGACTGTAAATATGAAGTAAAATGCCTTAAGCTTTTATTGGCTGCTTGAAGATAGGCAATGAAACCCTGAATGGAAACAGCGCTGCAGAGGCTGCTTGCACCATCTTCAGGAACAGGCAGGAAAAAAATGCCTTCATTACTCTATCAGAAATGCCGTGGGGCGCCAGGGAAGAACTGCCCTCCTAACCATGCAGCCAGGGTCTCCTGGAGCTTGAATATTCAAAGCGAATTAAAATTCTATCTGAGCGGCAATACAGGACAATAATTTTTGCTTACCATCAAAGCAGTAGCTTGACTAATTGTATATGCAAATCAGGCAATTTGTATTTAAATTATGTATTCCTATTCTAATCCCACAGGCATCTACAGATCAGCAAAGAGAATTGGTAGGACATTTTCAAGGTGCTTGAATATTTATTACCAATGGCAAACATTCACTGATCAGTTGAAAAGATACATATACATATATATACTGAAGAAAACATTCAGTTGCAATTTAAGAGCCATCTTTATGTTAGATTTGTTCCAATTTTATAAAGAGCTTTTGTAACGCTAGAGTATGTTTGGTTTCCTTTGCTTTTAAAAAATACTACTTGAGGGGGAAATTGATGGGACCTTCAGCATTTGTTAAGATTCCAATACTTTAAAATGTATACTGTTATATGTAGTGCTGTATTATTGAGCAACATAAAAATTTTAAATGAAGTTTGTAGATTAAATAGTAGTGATGTACCAATGTCCCTGTCCTCATTTTGGTAACCGTGTTGTGGTTATAGAAGAAAATGTCCTGTTAGGAAATACATGCTAATATATTGGGAGTAAATGGTGTTTTTTTGTGTGTGTTTTTTTTGTTTTTGTGTGTGTGTGTGTGTGAGTGTGTGTGTTTTGGGGGGGAATAATATGATGAACAGAAAAAGGAAGGGAGGAAAGAGGAAAAGAGAGAAAAAAATAGTAAAGCAAATACAGTAAAATAGGGAAAACTGGGTGAAAGATTTAAGAGAAGTTTTTAATAATAATACCTAGAACTTTCTGCACGTTCAACATCATTTCAAAATAAAACGGTGGAAGCTACTATATGCTGTGCCTTTAAGTACAAGATAGGCTTTTTGCAATTACAATTTTCTGTGAAAAGGGGTGCAGGAATATATGGATGTGTTTATATTGCCACTATTCTTGTCCTACCACATTGTGGTTATACTGCACTGACTTTTGGGAGCTCTACCCTGGATATTTTTCAAATGCTTTCAACTTTATTTTATTTCTTACCAACTGTCACAAAGGTAATGTATAATATTTTTTTTAATTGCAAAGACACACTTTATAGGTTTTTCTCAAAAAAATAATAATAATAATTTGCCCACAGAAAATTTCAGAATCCTGGAAAAAACTTTCAAATTGTAACAAGCTGAGCACAGACACCACTTCTGTGTTTTCATTACATTGGATGCCTGGACACTGCTAACACTAGGCATGCTTTTTAAGACGCCTATGAAGATAAAGATTATAAGCAGTTATTTGAGATTTCAAGGCAAAACTGTCATCTATACTATGGGAATTTAATACACTCCTTCACTTGTAGCATCAAGCCATAGAAACTATTTGTAAACTATTCCTATGCTTATTAGGGATATCATATTAGACTGGAGACCTAATATACCTAATATTCCAAACATGTACTTAATCACGTTTAACTCTTAGAGCAGGCATCGACACCATACACAGGTGTTTATCTTCCTCTACTCCTGAAGTCTTCACAATGGGAATTGTATCCAGAATTGGTTATGGAAACCCACAAAACTGACACTAAATCATAGGGAACTCAGTGGATGACAACATGTCTACAAAAAAACTGACTAAGTGGACAATGCATAGTGCAGTGTTTGTCTTTTTGTTAAAGCAATGATTTGGTTGTTATGTAATTAACAGATTATGGAATTCACTCATTTAAAACTTACAGTTCAATATTTTCAGTATATTGTGACAGTTGGGCTACTGTCACTACTATCCATTTTCAGTGATAGGGGACAATGCGATCTGGGACCTGCTTCCAATTGCTTATCCCTTACGGCAGGACTGCCTGTGTGCATAGCCACTCCAGCTGACTTTCCTACAAAGGTGGCCCGGTCAGCAGGAGAAATTTGCTCCCACTTAATAGCAGGCGAACAAAGAAGGGAGCACGTCACAGCACAGAAGGAATTCAGATTACACAAGGCTTTGCTCTCAGGTTTTCTTTACGAGCTATTGAGGATCTCATCTAAATAAGGGAAATGCAAGTAAAAAGCCATCCTTCTGCCATATAAAACAGGAATCCTTTGTACCTCATACTGGAATCAGTCGCTCTGACAGCTTAAAATGGGGGAGAAAAATGGCCAGAGGGAAGATGTGGCGATTCTTTATTCCAGGGAGGTGGCACCCAGCACACTGTGACAGCTCAGGAGGGTCCCGTCACTGCTGTTTAAACAGAGAATCTCAGAGGCGATGCCGTAAATCTTGGAAGACTATGCAGCTGAGCGGGATATACAGCTGACCTTCATTTCAAGCTGGATGGGTCTGTCTAATTTGCATGCTGACATGCAAGAGACTTTTCTGGTTCTCAATCTACATTACTAAGCCTAGAATACGATCAGATTTTAAACTCCTTATTGCTCTGGAAAACAAAACAAAACAGCTATTTCTTAGAAAATCTATTAAAAACACACACACTTGGCTAAGAGCCAAGAGACCAGGGTCAGCAAGTTGCATAGAACTACACACACATCTGAGTCAAATAAAAACTGAAAGAGGAAACTTTTATAAAAAACAAAACAGGAAACCCTTTCCCTTAACTCTTGCTCTCTGGTTAGAGTCACTAGCCCTACACCCATCTGACTGCTTGCAGAAATAACAGTTTTCAGTTTCTCGGCTCAAAAAGCTATTTTAATGTTTGGAATCACAGCAGCTCCGAGCCACACTGTGTGTTTGTCATGTCATCTTTAACTCTTGAAACAGGTTGATGCTTCATCTCCTAAGTATGTTTCTGTAAGATTTTTGCTCAACTTCTATCGTGTTGGTGTTCCACGGAGATTCTGCCCAATCTGAGCTGCTTTAAGCCAAATACGTCAATGAGTCAGCAGGAACTTTCAATCTAATTCCAAGTGTATGCAATATCTCTTAAGGAAAATCAAATGGGAGGAAAAACTAGCAGGAGGTTAGCAACATTGCCATTTAACTTAAAAAATAGGTAGCTGTGATTACTGAATATTCTTAATTAGCTCAGAAGATCCACAATTGGTTATAACAATTGGTTATACCATAACATTTCTGAGTGTCTCAACAAGCCTGTTAGTTTTGATGTGGACTTCTTTAAAATTTAAAAATTTAGAGGAAAAGCCTAAAAGTACGCAATTTAAATTAGAACACTCCAGATTTTTTTTTCCCATTAAGAAAACATTGCATGAAATGAAACTATCACAGTCCCTGAAAATCAGGGGTTTATCATGAAAATATTGCCAGCCTCTCAATTACAGCGCCCCTAGCAAACGCTACTAAAATAAAAACTATCGCAGGTTTCAATCGGGCCTCGTGTGAGAATATTAATCGGGATTTTTACGTTGTGTTTTGTTGGGGGGCGTTTTGCATTGTGTTGTGGTGGAGGTGGTTGTTGTTAGCGGTAAAGTCCCTTCTTGTCAGTCTTCACATCACCGCATTTAACAACTGCACACAGCTGCCAGAACACCGAACTCGTGTTTTTAAACAATTCTTACCAGCTTTCTTCCAGATCTCCTCTGGCACATATCCAGAAGCAGGCCTGTGAAGGAATTCCCGATGTGCATCTATAAAAAGGATAAAAAGCAGTGGAGAGAGGAGGAAAGCACATGAGCACCATTATGTCATTATAAGGAGTAGAAGTTAGCTATGCCCCTTCTCTTGGCTTCTTTACAAACTCAGCTTTAAAAGGCTAAGCATGTCACGTCTAGAAAATAAACAAAAAGAGGGCTGGGTCTTGGCCTACATGCCTCGTATGCTTAAAGCTGACGCGATTTGAATGATTTCATTATTCAATGTGTTTGGAAACACCGTTTCCAGCAGGATCACTGCAGGAATTTCCGTGGGTATATTTTATTTACAGGAAACAAACTGCACTGGTAGTTTTTCTTTCAAGAGTCAAACTGGTAGTTTAAAAAATAAAAGGTTAGGAAAATAAAATTTCCACCCAGCTTTGACTCGACCTCCTTTCAATTAAGAGTGAGCCTTACTGTGTGGCTAACCAGTTCTCACAATCAATTACTTCTTGTCAGCTGATTTCTCAAAAGAAACTTTGCAAGCCAGAAGGGAGCGGCAAGAAACATTCAAAGTGATGAAAAGCAAGGACCTACAACCAAAATTACTCTACCCAGCAAAGCTATCACTTAGAATTGAAGTTAAGATAAAGAGCTTCCCAGACAAGAAAGGCTAAAGGAGTTCATCACCACCAAACGGGTATTATATAACATATTAAAGCATCTTCTTTAAGCAGAAAAAAAAAAGAATATATGAACAATAAAATGGCAATTTATTGTTGATATATTCTTTTTTTAATTTTTAAAGTACATATACATATACTTTAAAATTTTTCACAAAAATTAGATCACATGGATTTGACATGGGTGAAAGCAAGGGGGAATCATTAGAATAGATTCAAATATTCAGTGGACCAAACATGCTTCACAAAAAAGAAAATGAAGTTCCACTTTAAGTGAAATACTGTCCTTATTTTGCTTGTCAAAATTCAAGTTTGAGAAAACAGGTAATATAATAATAAAGCTGATGTAGGAATGCTAATCTCCAAATAACATGTTCATGGAAATGACATGGAAGCTTTTGTATATTTTTATATAGGCATGAAAATAAACTTCACGTGTATACAATCATCTATAGCTAAAATACTCACTACATGTCTTTCATATTGGATTTTCAATAAAAGCATACATAAATAGACATTTTGAAGAAAATCATTTTTAACTTTAAATGATAAAATAATCATTCAATTCTTGATAAACTTCAAGTAACTGAAATTTTCTCTACATGTATATAGCAAGTAGCAGACTTATTTTTTTAAACAATATTTTAACTAATGGCATGCTGAAGGTCAAAAGAAATTCAATCTAGTTTTCTATATTTTGGGAAGCTAAAAAACACACACCAATAATTTAGCTAAGTACATGTTATTTTATACTTAAACGCATCAAATAAATATGAATGTTTTGAATCCTGTAGGGTATATAGATTATCAACTGACCAGCAAACAAAATATCACCAACTCTTTTGAATTAGGAAAAGCTTCTTATGGTTTGATGAAGGGTATATGAAACCTCTATACTATCTTTGCAATGTTTCTTTAAAACTAAAATTATTACAAAAACAGAAAGTTTATTTCTAAAAGCTTACATAATTTTATGACTCGATAATCAGAGAGACTAGACATATGCATACTCATGTGCACATTCATTTCTATAAAATAAATGACAAAACCAAAATGTCTTTAAGTAATTTTCATTCATTAAGCAAAAAAACCTGGATAAAATAGTTTGGTGCATATGTAACTTCAAGGAACTGTGATATAGTTAATTAGATTTGTCAAAATTATTTTCTACATCACTATAAGGGTATCTAGAAGAATGAAGTCAATCAAGTTCACATTCAAGCATATGACACAATGGAACAGAGAGATTTACTTAAGACAACTTTCAAAGGCAATTTTTTGGGAACCCTTTGACTTAAGAATAGTTTATTCTTAAAGGAGGCAAGAACACACAATAGGGTAAAGAGGGTCTATTCAATAATAGGACAGATACATGCAAAAAAACCCCACAAAAACTAGACCACTTTCTTACACCATATATAATTATAAACTCAAAATGAATTAAATTAAGACTCAAAACCATGAAACTATGAGAAGCATAGGCAGTAAAATTTCTGACATTTCTCTTACCAATATTTTTTTCTGATACATATCCTTGGTAAGGAAAATAAACAACAACAAAAAGGGGTCCCATCAAATTAAAAAGTTTTTGTACAGCAAAGGAAACCATAAACAAAATGAAATAAAAAATGCCTACAGAATGGAAGAAGATATACTTCATTGTTATATCTGGTCAGGCATTAATATCCAAAATTTATAAAGAAGCTATACAGCTTAAAACCAATAATCTAACTAACAAATGGGCAGCAGACCTGAATAAACACTTTTCAAAAGAGGACATACAATGGCCAAAAGACCTATGAAAAAATATTCAAATGTCACTAATCATCAGAGAAACGCAAGTTGAAACTATAACGATAGATCCCCACAAACTCCTCAGAATGGCTATCATCAATAAGTCAATAAACAACAAGTGCTGGTGCGGATTTGGAGAAAGGAAATCCTTGTGCAACTGCTGGTGGGAAAGTAGGTTGGTATAGCAATCGTGGGAAGCAGTATGGAATTTCCTCAAAAAATCAAAAACGGAACTGTCTTATGAGCCAGGGATTCCACTTTGGGGTACATATCCTGCCAAAACCCAAGACACTACTGAGCCCCCTGTTCGTGGCAGCACTGTTTACAACAGCCAAGATATGGCAGCAACCCAAGTGCCCATCAATAGATGACTGGATGAAAAAGCTGTGGTACACACAGAGGTGGGCAAGCACAGGTTTATTGTGAGTATGCAAAAGACAGAGTTTATTCTCCTATTATTATTAATGTGTTTTTTTTTTTCCCCATAGGAACAAATGCAAATTTACTTTCGCCCACTCCTGTACCTACAATGGAATACTCTACAGTCATAAAAAACAATGAAATTTTACCATTGGAGACAGCATGGATGGAACCAGAGGGTATGATGCTAAGTGAAATAAGTCAGAGAAAGAAAGACAAATACCACATGATTTCACTTTTATGCGGAATCCAAAGAGCAAAATAAACAAACAAAAGAGCAACAGACTCAGAGAGAGATCAGACTGATGATTGTCCAAGAAGATGGAGGTTGGCCATTAGGGAGCGGGATAAAAATGATAAAGGGGTTCAGAAGTACAAATCAGTCACAAAGCAGTTGTGGTCATGCCAATTATAGCACAGGGACTATAGTCAACAACACTGTAATAATGTACGGTGCCAGGTGGGTACTTGAAATATTGGGGGGATTGTTTTTGCAAAGCATATGATTGGCCACTATGCTCTACACCTGAAACTCACACAAAACAATACTGAATGACAACGGTAATTGAAGAATGGATGAATAAATAAATATCACAAGCACACAAAAGGAAAGAAAAGTCTGAAGAGAGGGGGGGAAAGGGGAAACCTCACCAAAAACACACACATAAAAAAACATGCCTTCACCAAAGTAGCAAAAAGAGTGTTTTTCACTTATTGGGTTATAGAAAGATCAAGTGCTCCATAAAATTATTTTTTATAAATGGCCAATCATTTTATAGAGTACAGGCCAGTATCCACGCATAATATATCAATTACCAGTCCCAGGCAGTGGAGTCAGAAAAGAGTTAGTTCTAGAGCCCACTAAAGCTGAAGCTTGGCTCTGGCATTAGTAGCCATGTGATAATGGGCAAGTTCATTGCTACATGTCTCAGTTATCATATGTACAAAGTGGGGACAATATTACTCCCTGTGAGAGCACTGCTGTGAGAACTGAATGAGGCTCTTCCTATTATATGTTTAGCACAGCACATGCTAAACTCTCATTAGGTGTTGTTGCTATTATCCTCATTATCATTTAGTAGGTTATCCAGTAAGACTATATACGTATGTTCTCATAACTAAGTGATGTGAAAGTTTGTTTTTTCTCCTGGCACTTAAGTCAAATAGCATAAAACTTTAAAGAAAACAAAACCATTGTAGAGGTTTAAATTATGCAATACATACCAGTAATTTTTTGTTCCCTGATTTTAAGTCACTTGAGGATAGATGTTATTTTTATAGTTAGCGATTCACTGCCTTAGTCTTTGATGAAAAGTCCTCCAATTACTTAGATGGTATTTTTATAAATTTTATTCTAACCTCAAAAATGTTAATGACCTCCACATTTACTCAATTTAATCAAAGATAATGTATATGGCTCAGTCGTCTGCCCACCTTCCCATATGCTATATAGTCCGACATTGTCCACACACCACACGCTAGAAAGTGGTGCAATATTTCACCTACCTGGCTAATGGGGGAAAGGGGGAGACATATTATATAAATATATAATACTTTCAACAATAAGGAATTATAAAAAAAATAAATAGAAAAAAAAAGAAACAAAAAAATTTTTGCAATGACACTTAGGTTAAAACTCCACTTAACCTAGAAACCTAATAGAAATACTAAAGCCAATCAAGCAAACTCTTTCTTAATCCTTTATTACTTCATTTAATCTTTTTTAAAAAAAAACAGCAGCAGAATCTGAAGGCAAATTGTTTTTATAAAATACACATGTAAAATACATATACATACTTTACAATATCCTCTTCAGTTCTAAGTGTGTCCTACCAATGGAAAGAATGGAGTAATTAATCCTAGATAGATTCCTCAGAATCTATTTTGATACATCGATTAATACCATAACATCTACACAAACCAAATGACTAATAAATGTAGCATTTTTCTCCTGATTAAGTGTCAGCCATAACAGAATCTATATAGGCAAAACTGAATTTTACAAAAAATAAAAATCTTGTAGTTGATCAATGTTATGAGAGAAAACTTCTAGGACTTCCTTATTCTAGAACAGTGGCTAACTTAGACAAACCTATGCAAAAGACCATACACATTTCGAAGGCTCAGAGTCTAAAGCAGCTACTTTTTAACCATAAA